AGAGTAATCTCAATAAAGCATCACTTAAAATCTCAATTGTTAGTTTTTCCTTTCAGCTGTTGTTGTTGTGTAACTTTACATTTACAACTAATAGTACATTCATGTCCTTCATTTTCCTCACTAAATTTGGAATTATGAACTTAGATCGTTCACTAACAGCACCATCCCTGCTACAAAATATTTACACCTCTCTAATCCATAATATGGGCAAGACCAAAATATTCTATCCGAATTATTATCGGACCAATAAGTTTTCAAAGAGAGCAACAAATTATGAAAGCATTGCACTTCATTATTAAATTTTGTATCATCTTTTTCAAAACAAATGCTATTCAAATCCATTTACCTCTTCCATGGTTAATCGTAATTAAAAAAATCAGAAATCGGAAGCCCTAATTAATAATGGAACAAACAAGACAAACAAAGCAATAAAAAATTAAAGAGAATAATTTGTTAAAGCTTACCTCTTTCAGCTACAATGGATATTTTTGTTTGAGTGAATAATGGCTATGGGGAAGAAGAATTAGGTAAAGAGGTGAAAAGAAAAAGATCTAAATTATTGAATATTATTACGAAAAAAGAATATTATAAAATATATTTCACCTTTATTGATAGATGATAGTTAATGATAGGCTCATAAATTATTTTTTTCTTTCTCCACACATCTGCCGTATGTGTATTCACTCACTAATCTAGTTGGACACAAATATACCATTAAAATACATTATTAAATAGTGCAGAGAGGTAATAGGACCCGCCCAAACTGTGTAATTCTTACATCAATTTTTGTCAAAGTTTAGGTATATTCAGACCATTTTCCCTTATATTAATGGATTCCGCGTAATGTTTTCTTAGTTCCTTGTTTCAGTTCTTACTTCCTCTTTTACCCTTGTAGAGAGTTATTCAAAGTGACCTGTCTTGGTGGGATAAGACGGGTGCCATCAAACCTTATTTTTGGATCGTGAAAATAACTGCCCAATCATCCTTGTCCTTTTTCTTGATAGGATAAGGCACATAACACACTTCAATTGCTTGCATCACAAGAATTAAACATTCATATTTTTTTATAATGAAGATGGTGGTTAATATTAACCAATTTATATTGACTATGCTTTTAACACCAACATCCATAGTCAGATAAAATCATTCATATTTTAATGATACAATTTTCTATAATGGTTCTTCGCAGTATTCCACTTATATAATCTCTTTTATATATGCATAACAATCACCAAAATTTGGATTTGATTTGATTTCTCATTGTTGATCTTGCACCACCATCACATTTCGTGTAAAATTTGTATCCATAAACAAAATATAGTATCCCTCATTGATTAGGAATATTTTTATTCTCTTTATATTGAATTATTTACGGAAAAGAGTAAAAAAAAATGTCTTTAATTAAGCTATGTGAAATTGAATAAAAATGTCATTCGTTAATGGTTTGGCCCAAAAATGCCCCTATTGTTACTTTTTAGACAAAAATATTCTTTTACTAATAAATATATTATTTCTTTTATTTTTAGGTACATTATTTTTCTAATAAAATATTATTTTTGAAGAACATTTTTCATATATATTTTTCTTTTAAAATCCCTTTAACGAAAAGTGGAAAGTAATCTTTTTTCTTCGTAATATCTTTTTATCAATTTAAATAGAATTACCCTATATAGTTTTTAAATGATAATATAGGTCATATATATAACTATCATAGTAACCTTTGTCATTATTTTTTATTCAAATAATGATTAAAAAATTTCTAGTAAAATAAAAATATTTTTATTTTTTATTTTTTACGAATTGAAGTATAATAAATATTTACTAATATATTCCTAGATGTTAAAGTTAATATGAACAAATGGTCAACAATAACTCCATCAATGATGTTTTGAAGATATATTATTTTTAATCTAACGCAAAGTAATCAATTTTTGTGTTTTATGACATTCTGATTGTTGTATCTTAACTTTGACACCAAGGATTATATTAGCAAATTCTTAAAAGGATGAACTTATCACAAAATAGACTCATGTCTTATGGTGGAAGGTATATATTTAATAGCACATGTCCTACAATATATTCCTATGTATTTGCTTTAAGCTATGAACCCCCTATTATGTGTGTTAGATAAACTTCATAAGGTTTTTGCTAAGTTCTTCTAGGGTGATGCCACTACTTCAAAGAATAAACCGAGTGTCATTGAACAATGTGTGTTATCCAAAAGAAAAAGGGGGGAGAGGACTCAGATCATTACATGATGAATCCAAAGCACTTTTTGCTAAGCTTTGGTAAAATTTTAGAACAACCACTTCATTTTTGTGGAACAAGTATTGCAAGTAGTTCTACCCAACTATAGCAGTAGGATGGGGTGCATCACACATGTGGAGGAAGATGACAGTAGTAAGAGAAGATGTGGAGCACAACATTTATTGGCAGTTGATTGCTGGACAAAACAAGGGGCTATGTATTATGCAAAAGGTGATACTGTCATTGAGGAGGAATTAGAAGTGAAGGATTTCATCACAGGAGGAGGCTGGGATGACCATAAGTTGCTTGAAGTATCAAAAGAAATGGTGGAATATATTATGGAGAGTATAAAGCCTCATAGAAATGTTCATCAAAATGATATTCCTTAGAGGATGGGCAATACCTAAGGAAATTTCACTAATAAATCAACATGAAAGCTAATGAGAAAAAACAACAAATTAGAGAAGATTATGGATATATTTAGGCCAAGGGGCTTTCTTTTAAGGTGAATGTTAAAATAAACACGTCCACTGGTGATCACTGGACTAGGTCCCTCGACAAAATAATGGTACAGAAAATAAACAACTCAAAGTAAATCAGGCACAATGATTTTACGTGGAAGCCCCCTTGCACAGGGGAGGTGAAAACCATGACCTATACTCATAGGATTTAAACCCAAACTCCATTTCACTCAGAGCACAACTTCATATTACAACTTCTTCTAACCTAGGAATTAAACTTTTAATCCCTTTCCCCTTACTGTAGATACTCTACTACGAAGGAAACTAAGCAATAACTCTATTGCCCACTAAACCAACTAACTCTAGTTGATCTAGACTTCAAGAATCCAACAAAGGCTAACTCAAGTCATCAACTCAGATATCAAAGATAGCAGCATAAACAAGCAGCGACTCTGCTGCACCCATACATAAAATAACTCTAGTTGACACTCCTAGGAAACTCTACCCAAGAGAACATCAAAACAATGATGTAAAGAGGCTTTACTAAAACATAGATAATTAGACTAACTAACTCTTGTTAGTCCGAATCAACCCAAAGACTTAGACAACCAACCGATCTACTATCCTTTATAAATTAGGAGCGGATTTACAATATAAGGACACAAGACAAAAAACTCAAAATGCAATAAAGACGCTTCAACACTCCATCAGTTCCCGTGTTGAGCATGAGCAGTGCTCTTCCTTAAAGAAGACTTTTTCTTTGTGAGCTTATGAATTTTTAGAATTCAAAAATTTGTTTGCCAAAACTTGAGTTGTATCCATGGAGAAGAGACTATTATCAAATGGACACAAAACCATGGGACCAAGCCATTGGTTGAGCCTGTTGCTGTGAAAAGATATGCACGAACCACAACTGAGTTGGTAGTTGTGCCAGCTTTTAGAGAGTTGTATTTTTGTCTTTTTCACGTACACGGTATTTTCTCGATCAGGTCCCTTGTTAGATTCAATAGTTTGTTAAATTATCAAAACTTTAAGAAGCTCCAAAATAACAATTTCCCCTTTTTTGTGATCACAAACTTATTCGACTTCCCTTGGTTGATCCGGAAGTTTGTTAAATCATCAAAACTTTAAATCAGCTCCAAAATAACATTTTCTCCTTTTTTGGTGATGAAAAACTTATTCAACTTTTCCCCTTTCATCACCTCCCCATAACGGCATGACCAGGTCCTCTTCAAGTAACTACATTGATCTCACTCTTCAAGTAACTAACATTGATCTCACTCTTCAAGTAACTAACATTGATCGCATACCTTAACAATTTTCCCCATTTTATAATCATAAAAAAGAGTTAAAGAACTAAACTAATTTGACAAAAATGTAGTTCAAGCAAATTCATGGCCACTTGGGCAACACCAGGCATGCGTAAAAATGAATAAAGTAATGAGACAAGTCAGTAGAAACGAGGCCTTTTTCATTCATAAACAAAACACGAGCAATCAAAACATTGCAAATATGATTACCAATGAGAACTAGGACAATACCCACTAAGTTTCAATAAAAGAGGAGGAATGGGGACTGACCCAGGAATTTAGGAAGACAAGGGGAGTTTAGGAGCAAAGGATTGAAAGAGTAAGGTTAGTAGCGCATCTTCCTAAACATGACTTTTCAGAAGCCTCTCTTGAATTTCAACATTCTTTGTTGCTAAGGCGTCATTCAGGGATGCCAGTTCTTTTCGACCTAGTCCCTCTGATTGTGCTTTTCATAAGCTGAGCCTTTAGGCAAGCGATCTCAGTATCCTTGTTAGTAAGAGAAATTGGCATAGCTTTCAACTCATGCTTGAGCTGATAATGTTCCACCACTGGTTTAGACATATTACTTTTGTTCCCTTGTCTTCCCTTCCACATATTTTCCCTCCCTCGAAGATGATGACTCTTCGGGACATCATTCAAAGATTCAAGCATCTAGAAGGCGAGCCTATCCATGAAACTTGGCTATGATTCAAAAAGTTAGTGCTTCAATGCCCAACCCATGGCCTGCCTGATAACGTGTTGTTGCAGTATTTTTATCGGAGTCTGGATTCGGTAAATAAGGGTGTTGCTGACCAACTCTCTCCGGGAGGTTTGATGTAACAACCTTATGTGATAGCTGCTCAGCTCTTGGATGAGATGGCTACCATAAACAAGGCGTGGTATACTCGTGAAGACTAGGTCTCCCCTCTTATGTTCAAGTTAACTAAGGAACAAATAGAGAAGGACCAAGAGAGGGACCAAAACATGGCCAAGATCATGACACAACTTGATTCAATTCTCACCTTTTATACCTGTGTAAAAGAGAGAAAAGAAATTCATAAGAGTTAATAAAAAGTAGAATATGTAACACAATATGATTTTTCATATGTTGTAATGTTCTGTTTTATGACCACTGCAAAAATAAATCATATAGAATGTGAAGCTATATATTAGCTATACATTTGCTACGATAAAACTCTCTATTTGTTTCAGGGATTAGACAACATATTTTAACTATATGACATGTTTGAGCTTCTAAACTCACTGCTCATAATTCAAAGAATGAAAATTTTTATTCTTCTATCTTGCAATAAGATAGACATTTTTGCTGATAACTTTTTGTCTAAACTTGTCGACTACCACATTATCTGGTAATTAACTAGTTGACTTTGCCTTCACAAAGTAACACACCTCCAAGACAACTCTATGGAGTAATATCAACTTTAACAATAACAAGAATCTAAGGGGAAAGTGTGACAACACCGGAGCATACAATAGCCCAAAATGAAGGAAAACGTGACAACTTTAAAGGGGATCACTGATTGTATGATATGGAATGCAGATGCAGTGGCAAAGTATCTATGGAATATAGCCAACATGCTGATAACCTTTGAGTAAAATGGGTGAAAAGTGTGTGTATAAAGGGGACTGATTGGTGGCAATATACACCTAGCAAGACAGTTGTTGGTAATAGATACTGTGAAAATGGATGGCTCAAGGCATTAGGGAAATAGTGAACTGCACCAGTGAAACTAGTCTGCTCAAACATGTTGTCATAGTAATCTTACTCTTTTTCAGAGAGCCACATTGAAAGGGCAATCAAAGCATCAGGGAGATCCTCAACGCCTTTTATTAAGGACAAACTTAACACAAATTGGAACAAATTTAGCTTCAGTATCTCCTTGTACTTGCTGGTTAAGATCATACTGAATTTTCATACCTAAGCCCCTATCTAACAAGGTGGTCTACGATCATTAAATCACTAGAAACAGGAGCAAGCTCTATGTTACCGCTAAACGATAAACCTAGGGGTAAAGTCTCCAAACAAGTCGTAACTTTTCAACAACAGATGACAAAAACATACTGTTTCAAATCAAAGGTGGGCAGACTAGGATGAAGTTTAATGTAAAGTTGTTCCAAACAAATTCATGAGATAGTTTATTGATCTTGTTTTCTTTTTCATATCATCTGCTTTAAATTTGCTGTGCAGACTTGATGGGATAGAAAAATATATAATGTCTATCAATTATCATACAATAGATCTTTCACTTTGCTGGATCTTTTATCCAGAGAAATGTAATTAGTCCTATCAAATTTTAAAAATCAAGAATGACTTCAGCAGAAGAAAAGTTCTTAGGATAAGCTCATTTTACCATAAATTTCAAACTCTTCAAAAAGTAAAGTTCTTGCTATGACACTCGAACTCTTCAAAAATGTTTGATCCTCCAAAAGTAGTGCATTTTTGGAAGATTCGATACATCTGTAATAACAGTTCTAGAGATTCTGAGTAACATAGGTTCTCAATATATGATCATCTTACCATAAATTCATTCACCACCATTTGGTATTTACTATTTGTACCCATCTTTCAAACAAAACTAGTATGTTTTATCTTTCTACACTAAAACTACACATGTCATATGAGTTTTAAGTATTTTTCATGTGAGGTTTGAATTAAACCATTTAGCACCAACGGTATTACAACATTAACAAAGATTAACACACAAATTTATTCTATTCTAAATTCTAATCACGATTTTGCTTGCAACAGCTATACTGAATTATATATCTAGCACTACTAATCATACATCTAAAGGACTACTGCACTACTAGTAGAGTACAAAAGTATTCCAATAAGCATATGAACAACTTCCTGCCAATTCTATGGCTAAGATATTAGAAACCTTTTGGAATATCTCCCAACTGTAAAAATGTTGGTTCTATGTGCTACTGATTTCCCTAAGAATACAAAGCTTTGCTATTAAGAATTAAGGAAAACCAAACTATATCATCACTAAATGACCAGATACACCCAAAGCAAGGAGTAAGAGACTGAGAAGGATAAGAATTGCAGCTCTACAATATTGATATTCTATTTCCATGGTCTGAAAATCTATAAAGTAGTGTAAAAAGGAGGAATCTTCTCTTTATCTTTACTTAGCTACTTGCAATGTTTCCCCTCTATAAGGTATCATAGCCTCTTCTACACTATGTCCAGTGAGATTAGGACGCACCTAGGGCATAAAGTATATGGCATGTTCACTACTAACTTTTTTTCTTGAGCTAAGGTATTAACGTATTAATATAATATAAATAAAATAATTGATATAAACTATAACTTTTGAAACTAGACTTTACGTTGGTGAAATAAAAATATACCTAAAGTTGGCATTCTCATGGAGCTCCTTCTCTGTTGCATCATAAAAGAAAGTATGCAAAGTTAGACACTAAATGCTACATATTTATATATTTCATAAAAAAAGTAAGCAAAAATTATCACATAAGTTTGTGTTACTTCTAACCTGTTAGAAGGCGATGAGCGAGCAAAACACTGCATTTTCCTTAACATTTCCTCTTGGCGTGCCACAATAGTATTCAATTGAGAGTTTAATGCTTCTATTTGAGATTGTTGATCTTGTATTTGAGACTGCTGGTCTTGTATCTGAGTCTGCTGGTTTTCTACCACAGTTTCAGCAGCATTTAATCGATTCTGTAAATTATTTTGGGCACTAGCAGCTTTCTGTTTCGCTTTTCTGAGGGAGTCCTCTAACTCTGCCGTTTTCCTTTATGTAGCTCTTGTAGTATTAGGTTTTGGACCATAACCAAGTCCTCTTATGTACCCCGACTTTGTACCAAGTACGGTATCCACAATTTCATCAGTAGTCATGGAAGCCTCTCCCGAAGTATATAGATCTTGCAAATCTTTCATGTTGTTCTGCATAAAAATATAAATACTATTTAAAGGAAAAGACACAACTTCAAAAGAACATTAATCGAACAAACGCATTGGATAACCATCCTTACATAGTGAGTCTCAGCCTCTAAAGATGACCATCCTTTCTTACTCTTATAATGACTATGCTTGTAGAACTCGATTCTGTCAAGCTCTACTTTTTCAGGTTCATTTTTACCCCTGTGAAATAAGAAAAACAATTGAAATAGTACTGAAGTTTTATTAGTAAAAAAAATAAAAACAATATAACTTACAAGTTCAGCACGAGCCGCTGCAAATGCTTTTGATCCCATGAAATGATTAGATTTAAGCTTAGTTCGATTGACCTTGTTTATGTCGCATCGTTTCTACAAAGAAAATATAAATATCATAACTTTAATAATAACGAGAATAACATGAATTTAAGTTACCTTATGTTTTGGATTGATCCACATGTCACAAAGTCTATTCCAATTTTCTGGGGTCAACTCTGGCACTTCAATTTTACGAGCTTTTTCTTCTGAGCGTGCACTTTCAAACAATTGTTTTAACTTGTAGCGCCATTGTCGGCTTCTGTTTTTCAGAATATCCTCACACCTATCTTTCACGTAATGCTCGTCCAAATTAATCTCAAACCTCTCGTAATTATTTGTTTTTGAAGAAACATACAAAACGATCAAAATCCCTTTCATATTAAAATAATAATCATCAACGCTACTAACATACTAATTAGCTTCAAAGTAAAGTTTCCTTAGAAAGGCATAGATTGCAGTTCAAAAAAATTCTTTCCACTGATAAACGTTGCTCTTAACAGCCTATCTACATACCTAAAGTCACTATATCCTATTCCCAGTGAGGTAATGTTACAATTTGATAAGTTAAGGAGAGACTTTCTATGAAAAGGAAATAGAAAAAATCAAAAAATTCATCATATCATGTGGCTCCACATCACTCTTTCTGAATATGTTGGAAGCTTAGGTATCAGAAACATAGCAGGACATAATAGAGCCCTTCTAATGAAACGGCTATGGAGGTTCAACAATGAAGACGGGGTGCTCTCTGGAAAGAAGCGGGTTTTTTTGACAAAACCTAAAATACTATCACATTGGTCCACTAATGTATTCATATCTCCATATGGTGTTGGTCCATAGAAGAGCATAGCAAAGCTATGGGATATTTATTAACCAGCAATGCAGCTACAAAAGAAGATAATGACATTCACATTAAAATGGTGTAAACATGAACTGTATAGAGGAAGTAGAGGAGTTGGTTGATTTCCTAGGTACTTTGTAAAGTTTAGATTTGAATCTCACTCCCCTGTAACATGTTTTTGGTGGTAGCCAACAGTCCTAATGCTGAAGAATACAATAGTACTAATTCTCAAAAAAAATATTGGAAGGAAAAATGGTCAACAAACACTACTCTACAAAGTAACTTTCCTACTCTCTTCTCAATAGCCTCTAATTCAGACACTATTATCTCCCAAAACAGAAAAAATAATGCCAGGGCACCATTGTTCAAAATTGAATTTCCAAGACCGGGAACTAGATAGTTTGCTACAATTACTATCCAATCTGGATTGTTGCTGGCTTAATGATCACAACCCATAGAGAATCCAATGGGATATGATGACAAATGGACAATACACAATGAAAGAATGGTATTCGTTATGATGTCCTCACAATTATATGATAGAGAAGTGGCCTTAGAAGCTTATTTGGCATACCAAATCCCCTCCCAAGGTCAAATACTTCATCTCATGAGGGCAGTGCCACTCAGGACAACCTTAGGAGAAGGGGCATGACAAAAGTCGATAGATGCTTTACGTGCCAACAAGCTTCTGAGACTAACAGACTGTTGATTTTTTAAATTTATTTGTTGCTATTTTTTATTTTAGTTGGGTCATGAATACTAGTTTAAGGATTCCTACATTAGTTGAAACTCTTGGAAAGTTGATAAATCCATCAAACAAATTTGAAAAATGATTCCTACTTGTATTTTTTGGTGTGTGTGGAAGGACAGAAACATAAGGTGCTTTGATGGAATATCAACTTCAATATTTTAACTTAATATAGTTAGGATAGTTTATCCCCCTTAGACTCTTGTGTCAGTCTTTTGGACTTTGTAAACTCTTTAGTCATTTCATGCATAGGAGAATTATAAATGAAACTAAATATAATCACAACCATGTATAACTTTATAAGAGTATAAAATTCTTACATGACATCTAATTAGTGCTGCATCTCTGTCCTCTCTTGTGAGTTCCTTCCACTTGTTTGGAAGCGAAATAAAATTTCGAGCAATTATTCCCAACTCATTGGATAATTTTGCCGATTGAACTGGTTTAGTTGGCCTTCCTTTACCAACTGGGATATCTATTTTCATCTTACTTCCCATAGCCTTCTTCAATTTTTCAAGACCTTTACCTCTAGTCTTGCCACGACCATTCTTGATTCTAATAGAAGTATCTGATGAAAAAAATTGAAGACAGTTCAAATGATCATTCAAACTACCCTTGAAATCAATCACACAAGCTCTCAGCATATCTGTCAATTTTTTACTGAATGTCTCTCAAAGTGAGAGTCTTTCCTTTATATAGAGAAAATAAAGGTTACACATCCCTAAAGATCCGCCATTCCTATCCCTAAAGATCATCTATTCTATCTATACAAATCTGCCATTGAATCCCTCTAAATCTGCCTTGCTATCCCTTCAAATCAGCTATTCTATCACAATATTTATTCATATGATTCTACAACAAATGTATATGATCATGCTAATTTATATCACTATACAATTAGATTAATATATACAATCATTTAGTTGTCTATCATGCTAACATCCCCCCTCAAATTGATGCAGGTGGATCACGAAGCATCAATTTGCCTACTAGAAACTGATGGCGTTGCCGTGCCATGGATTTTGTAAACGCATCAGCTATTTGAAGATCACTGGACACATGTGGAAGAGTAATGACTCATTTATCTACAGCTTCTCGTATATATTGACAATCCACTTCGATGTGTTTGGTCCTCTCATGAAAAACTAAATTAGTAGCAATCTGAATAGCACTTGTATTGTCAGCGTGGAGAGGAGTAGGATGAGATTGGGGAATCCGAATCTCAGCAAGTAATCCACGAAGCCAGTACAACCTCGGAGCCAAGCAGTAGACATGGATCGATATTGAGCCTCTGTTGAAGATTTTGACACACGATCTTGCTTTTTACTCTTCCAAGATATCAATGGCTCTCCAAGACACATACACCAACCAGAGACTGAACGACGAGTATCAGGACATCCCGCCCAATCAGAATCACTAAAAGCATTAAGACGAATAGGAGAACCACTTAGAAAGAACAATCCATGAGTAGATGTTACTAGAATATACCAAATGATGCGACGAACACCAAGTGGAGATGACGAAGAGTTTGCATAAATTCACTAACTTGTTGAACTGCAAAAGAGATATCAGGCCGAGTAATAGTAAGGTAATTTAGACTCCCAACTAATTGTCGAAATATAGTTGGATCAGGAAGAAGATCGCCTTCCCCACATCGATACTTCACATTCAATTCCAGTGGAGTATCTACGGAGGAGGAAACTTGAAGACCAGCCAAAGAAATCAGATCCTGAGTATATTTGTGTTGGTTTAGAAATACACCTGAAGCAACATTATGAACTTCCAAACCCAAAAAATAAGTAAGAGTACCAAGATCTTTCATATGAAAAGAATCTTTAAGCTGCTGTTGGAGGCAAGTGATTAGTGAAGAATCAGTTCCTGTGATAATAATGTCATCTACATACACCAAAAGAAGAACACAACCTGTAGATGTTTTCCGAAGAAACAAAGATGAGTCATATTTGCTCTGCTCAAAAGAAAATTGTAGCAAAGTAGACCGGAATTTATCAAACCAAGCTCTTGGAGCTTGTTTTAATCCAAACGAGGTGGAGGTTTCATATAAATATCTTCTTTAAGATCACCATGGAGAAAAGCATTTTTGACATCCATTTGATAAAGAGACCAGTTTTATGAAGCAGCAATGGCAATAATAGTTCGTAACGTAGTCATTTTGGCTACGGGTGCAAAAGTCTCCTCATAGTCCACCCCATACTCCTGTCTGTTACCAAGAACAACCAATCGAGCTTTGTACCGATCAAGAGTTCCATCAGAATGAAGTTTGATTGAATAAACCCACTTACATCCAATAGGGCGGACATTTGAAGGACATGAAACAATGTCCCATGTGTCATTTTCTTTAAGAGCCAAAAGTTCTTCCTCCATTGCTTTCTGCCAACATTCATGCTTGGAAGCTTGTGAGTAACAGGATGGAACAGATATGTTGGATAGAGTAGAGGAAAAGCCACACCAATTGGGAGTACGAGATACTCTTGTAGATCGCCGAGTAGGCTCAAGAGGACCAGATATTGAAGAATTCTCAGATTCTAGTTGTGGTGCAGTTTTAGGCGGCGGATCAGGTCGGGATAGGGTAAAGTTGGCCGACGTCGTTCATACATAAATCCAGGTTTGAACCTCTTAAAAGAGATGATAAATCCTCAAAAAGTAAGAAGAAAGAGGGAGAAACAGAAGATGAATCTACAATCGTAGGAAAGAAATACTGATTCTCAAAAGAAAACAACATTTCTAGAAATACGAAATTTGTGAGAACATGGATCATAACAAATAAAACCTTTTTGTGAAGTATTATAACCCATAAAATCACATTTAGTAGATTGTACAGAAAGTTTATTGCATTGCGAAGGAGGCAAATGCACAAAACAAACACAGCCAAATGTATGAAAATCACTATAGTTAGGATTTTGGTGATAAAGACGAAAATATGGAGACTCAAGATTTAGCACTTTAGATGGCAATCTATTAATTAAATAGACAGCAGTAGACAAAGCTTCCACCCAATATTTAGATAGTACAGATTACTCAATCAATAATGTACGAGTGACATCTAAAAGATGCCGATTTTTTCGTTCAGCAACTCCATTTTGTTGTGGTGTATATGGGCAAGAGTGTTGTGAGACAATCCCTTTGTCAAGCAAGAATTTTTTTGAATTCATAAGACATATATTCTCCACCAGAATCAAAATCTTAATAATTTGATGCATGTAGAAAATTGAGTCTCAATGTAAGCCAAAAATGTCTTGAACATGGAAAATACCTCAGATTTGGAT